TTGTTAAAAGAAAAAGAAAAATCCTTGGGGGTGGGAGCCAAGATGGCAGAGTAGAGACTCACAACTCACCCTCTCCCACAAATACACCAAGAATTACATCTGCAAACCCGCTGAATCGCACGGAACACCTACTGAACTCTGACAGAGTGTCTCTAGTTTCAAAATACAGGAGGACTCTCACAAAATGCAGTTAAGAAAAAAAAAAGGAAAGAGAAAAAATTGGTGCAGAAATGGTCCTGCAGGGAGTTTGCAAAAGATGAGACTGATGAGAGCTTAATCTCCAGAATATATAAACAGCTCATACAACTGAATAAGAAATAAAACACACAACCCAATCCAAAAATGGGCAGAAGACCTACAAACAAGCAATACTCCAATGAAAACATATGAATGGCCAGTAGGCACATGAAAAAATGCTCAATGTTGCTAATTATCAGAGAAATGCAAATCAAAACTACACTGAGGTATCTCCTCACACCGGTCACAACAGCCATCATTCAAAAGTCCACAAATGATAAATGCTGGAGAGGGTGTGCAGAAAAGGGACCCCTCCTGCACTGTTGGTGGGAATGTAGTTTGGTGCAGCCGCCATGGAAAACAGTATGGAGATTCCCCAAAAAACTAAAAATACACTATCATAAAATCCAGCAATCTCACTAGTGATCATATATCCAGAGGGAACCTTAATTCAAGAAGACACATGCACCCCAATGTTCAAAGCAGCACTATTTACCATAGCCAAGACATGGAAACAACCTAAATGTCCACTGACAGATGACTGGATAAAGAAGCTGTGGTATATTTATACAACGGAACACTACTCAGCCATAAAAAATAATGCCATGTGCAGCAACATGGATGTACTGGGAGCATGTCATTCTAAGTGAAGCAAGCCAGAAGAGAAAGAAAAATACCACACATCACTCACATGTGGAATCAAAAAAAAAAAAAACCCAAACAACAACAAAAAACAGATCAATGAACTGATTTACAAAACAGAAACAGACTGAGAGACACAGAAAACAAACTTATGGATACCAGGAGAGGAAGGGGGTGGGAAGGGATAAATTGGGAGTTCTAGATTTGCAGATACTAACTACTATATATAAAATAGATAAACAATAAGTTCATACTGTATAGCACAGGGAACTATATTCTGTACCTTGTAGTAACCTACAATGAAAAAGAATATGAAAAGGAATATATGTATGTATATGTATGACTGAACTATTATGCAGTACACCACAAACAGACACAACACTGTAAACTGACTATACTTCAATTAAAAAAAAAACAAGTCTTAGTTTTAATTTTCGTATCTACAGTTCAAAGCACTGATCACACCACCATGACAATCAATGCAGATTTACAGAACTCTTCGTTGTATGCTAGATCGAAGGTAAATAACCTAAACAGACATACACTGAACATTAGTAAATTAATAAATAAATAAATGTTTACCCTTTCCTGGGGCTGCTGTCCAAAGAAATCTGGATGCACAGCAAAACAGAAAGGCCTTAAGGCATTGACTGCTTCAGCTCCCGCCAAGGCTCTCGAGTAGAGAAACCAGTATGGAAATATTTTCCCCAGACAGAACCTTTTAAAAAGATGTGGAGTTGTCATTCACCAGTGTGCTGATACACACAAATCCCGACTGTATAAAGTGACAGTAACGTTAAAATGACTATGTATGGAAAATACCACAGGCACAAGATAGGAACCAAAGTGCAAAACTTTGTGGTTTTCTGAAATCCATAGAAGTTTTAACAAGCAATGAGTGCCACATGTTTTCTAAAGACATTGGTGATAAATTTCTCTGATGCAATATGAGAACATAATATTTAATAATAAAAAAATTTCCCCTCAAAAGTCTGCCTTGAAATGTTAACTGGCTTCACTGTAAAGGATGACGATTTTCTAAATCATTTTCTTCTTCAGATTAAAAAGAAATCCCAATATCAATAGTGTAATCTCTTCTTTACAGTGAAAAATATTTTGAGAATTGTAATACTTAACAAGATGTACAAGACGTCTCAGTTCATTTCCTCATCACTAGTATGCTAAAATTATCCTAGTTGGATAACTTAACATGTTGCCCTTAAATTTTGGCATAACTCACCTGGGGGTGTTTTTTTTAAAAAGTAGTTTTAAATCCAAAAGAAACAATTCATAATTTCCAAGAAGCACTTCCATGACATCTAATTTTGAATGTGGTAATTTATCTTTTCCATTCTGTAATGGACTATGAAGAAGAATACTGTGCATGTTTCTGTCTCGTATGTGAGGTATATGTACCCAGTCTTTGGAAAAGTGTTTCATTTTTGAAACAACTGAGGTTACAGAATCATTTCTGAAGATTTTTTTTTAATAATTGGGAGATCACCAACAGATTTTCAGATGGCCTTTTGTTTTCTGCCTTTTTACAGGTCCTTGAACCTTTTATGAAGTCAACATATAGACTGTGCATTAAGGATTCTAACAGGAGTTTAACAGTAAAGGAAATGAGCAAAGTCCTCAATGGGAGGCAGTGTAAGTGAACCTTGGTGACAACTGCACTCACTCCTCGCCTGAGCCTTAGCCCCCGTTTCCAAACGTCTAATGGACACTTAGCTGTCCTGCCAGCCTCTCAAATGTTATGTGTCTAAAAAAAGGAGCAGAGGTCATCATTTCCTTCCCAGCTCAGCCTGGATACAAAAGGCAAGGAAGCAGTTAGACGGCTCTGTCCAGGATTATCGTCCTCCCTTCTATTACCGAGGTACCGCTCTTCTCAGAGCTGCTAACGCACAGGACCCGAGGGTTACCACTGCCCCAGCTTGCTCAGCGCCCCCTCCCCATTTTCACTCCTGAAGTCTTCTTTCCTCTCTCTTTACAATGTCCCTTGAAATCACTCCTTCTTCCCATTTTCTCTGCCACCAACGACCACTGCAAAATTGGACTACGTGGCTTTATGATCAGTACTCTCTCCTGTTTTGTTTCCCTAGCCACACTGTGCACAGGTTGATTTTCCTAAAATCCCACGATCACTGTATTCCTGACTGAAACACCTGTGATGGAGTTTCAGCTCCGGCAGATTAAGACCCACTCAGCCTGGTATACAAGTGCTCTCCAGTGACTCCCCATCTATCCTTCCAACTTGATCTCCAAGCACTCCTTGCAGAAACCCTCAGCTCCACCCTCCTTGATCTTCCTCATCCTGCCCTTCTCCATCACTTCTAAGTCCTAATATACCCTCCCCATGCCCACTTCCCCTGGTCCAAACTGCACTCGCTCACTCATTACTGCCTTCCTACTGTGTGCCAGGAGGCCACGGGCCCTTCCCCCAGAACCTCCTCTTTTGTATCCTCATTATAAACAGTCTTTCCCTCTTCTAAACTCTAATAAAAGAAACTGTGTGCCCCATATACATGGAACATAATACCACAATGTGGAAATGCTCTAGACTCTTCCTCAACTACCACTGCATCCCTGAGGACAGTGAACACGGTTAATAGGGGTTTACTGCTGTCAGGGAGGTCAGTGTGGGTCTGCTGGAGAGCAGGGGCCATGACAGGATGAGAGGGGCCGAGGATTCCTGGGAAAGGCAGCAGGTAGGGAGAGCTTTCAGACCATGTTGCAGGCCTGATGTCTACAGAGGAGAAAAGGAAGAAAGGAGCACTGAGGGGGGCCTGCGACTGCAGCCCCGTCCCAAGGGTTCAGCCACACCACGGGGAGTCCTTGAACCAAAGCCCCCCACTGCAGGTGCCCTGTGTCCTGCTGGAGGGAGCCTGACTTCGTGTTCCTGCCCTGCTGAGCCACTGAGGGCCTCAGGGTAAATCCATGTGGACCCAGAGGGGCAGGGGGGCTCAGCGGCTACCACCACAGGGCCTGGCACAAGTATTACTGCTCATGTGTGCTCAATGAATACACAGTTGGTGTTTCATGAAAGGAAAGAAGCCAATCAAGAAAAACTAAATCAAGGAAAAATAAACCCCATACAATGTGTCACTTTAGATTGAGCAAATTTGGCATGCGAACATCTAGATGTATAAAGAGGTTTTAGGAAAGGGTTAGCTTCTGGAAAAATGCGTCAGTAGAACAGCAGACTTCTTGTGTGAAGGGCCAGAGAACAAGAGTTTCAGGCTTTTCACACTGGAAGCAGCCACAGTCAAGAAATGAAGGAGTGTGGCAGGGCAGATCAAACTTCATTTACACACACGGTCCGTTTAATCAGCTCAGTTGTGAAATCAACATAGTAAACCATGACCAACGTTAGAAAACAAAAAAAACCCCAGAGAATATTTCCTGGGACAGAAAATATTACCAGATACTGTGTGTGGCAAGGGTAACTCCTGTTAAGAAACTTTTATTTTTATGGGTTGTGATTAAAATATAGTTTTCTGAAGGCCAGGATCAAAGGAGCTGGGAAAGCGTGTCTCCAGTACACGACTGCTATCACCGTCAGTGACGTGGGGCTGAGGAGGTGAGCGTCCCTGAAGGCAACAGCCCAGGAAGTGTTATAAAGCCCAATCCTCCAGGCTCCTGTGGATCAGAGCACGAGGATACCACACTTTATCCTGGTGCTCTACAGCTAAACATGATTAAGATACCACAACATGATGAATTGCTCAACATCCGACCAACAACTTTTCTGGACATTTTCCAGGATCTCACAGTTTCTCTATTTCTCTCTCTCTCCTTTTTCTTCTTTTTAACATTTTTCTTGTCATAAATTCAATCAGAGTAAGTCTCCCTACATTTGGTAATTCTCACCATAAACTGAGTTGGTAGAAAAACTGAGTTGTTCCTCCTAAAGAAATTCCTTTTAACAGTGACCATTTACTGAGATATTCATATATGTAATAGCTATTTAAAGGCACTAATTATTGTCAAATATGTTTTAGAAATTTAAAACCTCACATGTCATTTTTATTCAACAGGTCAAATTTTATTTTGGTTATATACTTTGAGCCAGATAAATATTTTATTTATAAGAAATTGTGGTATATTTATACAATGGAATACTACTCAGCCATAAAAAAGAATAAAATGCCATGTGCAGCAAAACGGATGGACCTAAAGAACATCATTCTAAGTGAAGCCAGAAAGAGAAAGAAAAATACCATATGATATCACTCATATGTGGAATTCAAAAAAAGAAAGAAAAGAAAAGAAAAAAA